GAATGCATAGACGTCTCCTGTCAACGGTTTCGTATGGCGAATGAAGTTTCAAGGTTTTCGATTGAACTTATTGAGATCTCACTAGTTGGGAATGAAATAATGCAGATTCGTATTAGTAGTTTTACAAATTCTTTATTAAAGTCAAAATAATCCATTCGTTTGCTATGAATCTTGGAATTGTTCCTTCGAACGAGATTTCACCAGATTTTTTTCTGAATTCTAACGATTTATAATGAACACAAAATTGAATCGATCTGTCAAGTATGAGTTGTTGAATGTAGTTTGAACATTGAATGATTGGTTATTCTAATTGAATTTCTTATGATTCTGTGTGTATTTTGTGGGAAAGGCACACCATGATTGATGCCACCATATTGCTTTGTTCAGTACTTTTTGTAATGGATATTTTTCATGTGCCTTTTCAAACTCGATTTAGCTGTAAATGTATTGCGACACTGCTCGCACTTTAACAGTTTCTCTCCTGAATAAATATGCATGTGACCATTCAAGTAAGCGTTGGATGAGCCATTGAACTTCTTGCACGAATAACACTCATAGCAGCGTCGGTTTCCATTTCGTTGATGTGCCTTTCTTTTCACTTCCTTCGAGAAACCTTGGCGACAAATGAAACATTTGAACGGAAGTTGATTCGTATTAGATACAATGTGCCAGTTGAGATTGGATTTCTGTTTGAATTGTTTCGGACAATGTTTACATTCGAACGGGGTTTCACCAGAATGGGTGCGCATATGACGAATTAAATTAAATTTGTTAAAAACAAATGGCTTGACACAAACGTAGCATTCGAAGACACGACGATTACACTTTTCCTCGTGTGCATTTCTTTCGTCTTGGTGTGAAAATGCTGTGCGACAGTTGGAGCAGTGGAATGTGCGTGGACCAGCATGAATTTTCAGATGGCTGTTGAGATGGTGCTTCTCAGTGAATTGCTTTGAACATTGTGTGCATTCGAATGGTTTGTCACCGCTGTGCACGCACATGTGGAGACTCATGTTTTCATTGATCCAAACGACTCCTTGCACAAATGACATTCATAGCGGTGGGTTTTCATTGCAGTTCATTCAAGGGGGAAACTACTACTACCGCATAATTCATATTAATACAATCTAGTACAACACCAATTCTGATAAATTCCAAAGAATTCTGCGCAATTCAGAACAATTCCAATCAATTCCGATGTTTCTAAGTCAAATTTGATGATGATCAACTTCAAAAATTGCAAATATAGGGTCATTTAGCATCTCAAAGGAATGCTTAAGCGCATAGATGTTCAATCTTATCGAAATAACTTCAGATATGGCGTTTTTAATTGTACATAGGTCTCACTTCCAATTCAATATTTCACTTAAAATAGGTAAAGGCTTTATGATACATAAAATATTTTTAAAATGGAAAACAGAGCTAGAATTGAGTCTTGTAGATCAAAACAAGTCAAATATGTTCTGGAAGTAAAAATCTTCAATATGCATTCAAATGAATGGTAAATGTCCCTATATTTGCGATATTTTGAGTTGATCATCACCAAATTTGACTAAGGAACATCGGAATCGATTGGAATTGTTTTGAATTGCGCAGAATTTTTTGGAATTTTTCAGAATTTGTGTTGTACTAGATTGTATTAATATGAATTACGCGGTAGTAGTAGTTTCCCCCTTGAGTTCATTTCATGCTTTGTCTTTTTGTCTTCGCCGTCGAATCCTTGCAAACAACCCAGGCAATGGAATAGTAAAAGTTCGACGTGAATTTTCATGTGAGCACGGAGATTTTGTTTACTTATGAAACGTTTCCGACAGAAATCGCATTCCTGTGGCTTGTCTCCAATGTGTTTGAGAAAGTGCCTAGTAAAATTCCCTTTATGTCCCGTGGAATATTCGCATAAATCGCATTCATGTTGTTTTGACACATTTTTCGGATCACCAACTTTACTACTTTTCGCTTCGTTACACCATGAACGCTTACCTAGTAGTATATAGTCTTCATTTTGATGTGGCGGCTGCTGTGGATCCTGCTAATTTCCTGCTGCTTCTTCGCATAAGTCAGCATTTGGCTTCGATTCAGCTTCCTTCTTTGTGCCCACTTCTTCTTTCATCTCGATTTTGACATCTTCGCAATTAAGATAATCAAAATCATATTCGCTATTCTGTTGATTGATGCCAAGCGACAGTACAATGCCACAATTATTTCTTATTGAAATGTGATCATTGATCAATTCGCCAACTGACTGTGACTCTTCCTTGATGTGAGGCTCTTCTTTGACTTCGACTGGACAATTCAACTGATTGTTGGTCCCGGCCATTTCCATTCCTAAACCCTTCGATTCAACTGATGCATTGGAACGGTGCATTCTGGTTCATTGCAACTTCAATGGCTCGCCTAGACAATTTTCATTTATTCAATATTTTTATCACTTCAGAGACCGTAACAAAATTTCCAAAAGAAATTCTATTCAAAAGTGATTCAAAATCAAAATGTTCTCCACAAATTGTTCAATTTCGAATTGAATGCGAATAAATATTGTCGTCAACCATTTTGACACAAGAGACAAGAATATTTTCAAGTGAAAAACATTTTGCCCAAATCGTCTTGAAATGACATTTCGATATGTCATGGAAAGTTACTTACTTCTTTTTATTCACCACTATGAGGTTCCCAACGATTTTTAATATATTTCCACGCTTGAAAAGTACCAATTACACTTGAAAAAAGGTAAAAATAATTGTAACCTCGAACAAACGATCTGAACTACTATTTCGCAATACTTTTGCACCATTCAAAATGTCTGCGTGAGCAATAATAATACAACAATATCTGTTATCTCCTTCGACGTCCGCAGTAAAAAGAACTTTTCATTCTGCTCAGTTAACAATGAATCGAATTGATACACGAGCTTGTTCATGGTGACGTTTCAATTAAATGTCATAATTTTCCTTTTCTGTCTCGATGCAGCGAATGAAGGTTGAATCTTCTTAGATTGATTCAGATGTCACCAGTTGTGAATCAAATAAAAAGCGAATTTGATTCATTTCGACCGAATTTTTATTATTTTATCCATGGTTCTATAATTTAATTCAAGAATTAAGGCAAAATAAAAGGCTTGAATTTAGAGTATCATTTTTATAAAAACTAAAAAAAATCTTTAATGTAAATTCGTCAAATATGATTTCAGTTTGGAATTTCAAGTACTACGCATTGACAGAAGTTTGATTTGGGTAATTTTTAAAAATGAATCACTTATTCTCCATCATGGAAATCAATTGAGCTTAAGGCTCAAATTGTAAATTCGATTGTGAGCACAGTTTACACTGGAACGACTGCTAGCCTGAATTCCATTTTCTATCAAACATTATGCGCTCAACCGTTTGTTTTATATGCACCAAGCAATTTTAACGAGTCTTGAGGTATTTCAAAAAGCGTAATGAATGAGAGCTTCAAGATTTGGTCGACATTATACATTATGAATACGAGTTAAAAAAAAATATGGCAAATGTCAATTGGCAACGGCAATTATGCGATAAACATTAGTTCCTATGAAAAAGCAACATCAATTTGTTCGTTATAAGTTTGAATATTTCATGGAAATGTTTTTAAAAAGGTGTCGCGGAAAACAACCAGAGCGTGTTGTGAGCTGACATCAGCAGCACTAACTAACGTCAGCTGCTGATATTAGCTGCTGACGAGTATGCGTTGCGTTGTTTTAACGCATTTGCAGTTCAAAAGTCATATTCCTCTCTGGTTTCCAAGTCAAATTTGAATGAAGAGAATATGAAATTTGGCTTGGAAACCAGAGAGGAATATGAATTTTGTACTGCAAATGCGTTAAAACAACGCAAAGCATACTCGTCAGCAGCTAATATCAGCAGCTGACGTTAGCTAGTGCTGCTGACGTCAGCTCATAACACGTTTTGAAAACAACTTTCAAGTTACATGTGAATTCCTTTTATTGCTATCAACAAGCCAATGCAATGTTTCGTGAATAAGTGTCAAGTTCATTCATGAGCATATCTTTTGCGGAAATTTGATTTTAAAAAAATATGTAAATTATTTTTGGAAAGTAAAAGTATAGACAAGAAATATGGTAATTTTCTTTTTGACTGGTGTTCTTGAATTATTTTCGACAATATTTTCATTCTTCCTTCCTTCTCCTGTCAACGTTGCAGAGTGATGAGATTGTTTCGGTCTCTGGAAACGTTCCAGATGTTACCTAAAACGCTTTGCAGAAATTTGTAAGCATATCCCATGGAAAGTACGAATGAAAACTTCTTCAACGATTTGTGTTGATCCAGAAATCGTGCGATTTCCACGTTTTTAAACACCAATCCGGTGAAGTGGAGCTCTGTGAGGGATGGCAGTGCCTTCGCAATTCGACACAGAACATCTGAATTATGGAATGTATGTGTATAGTACCAATGCGTCTGAAGATTGTCGATAAATGGATTTTGGCAGATGACCTCGATGAAATCATCAAACACGAACTTTTCAGCAGTATCAACCCGAATGTACAAGCTTCGTAACTGTGGATTACCGCCTAAGGCCATTTTCAGGTTTTCCGTTCCAATATCAGTGGATCGTCCGTGATTGATTTCAGTCGCCAAGTGTTCCAAGTATGGAAATGACACCTGGATACTGGTGGGATTCAAGCAGTTGGTGAACAGCACCAAATGTCGAAGTCTCGGGAACCATACGTTGAATTGCGTCAACTTGCTTCCCAATACACATTCTTCAAAGCAAAGAGATTCAACAGCTGAAACGATGAACAATTTGAATTTGTCAATGTGTTGATTTTTGGTTGAAACAGAATGACTCTTATGGAAAATATTGGGACTGTGGAATTAGTTTTGGGCCTTTTTTCCCAAAAAATGTATTTTAATGATGGTTTACAAGTAAAAGCGAGGGGCCCCTCGAGTAAAAGAACGTGTTGTCTATTGGAGGCGACTACCTTTGCCCATCTTTCAGACAATTTTTGGCTTTTATTGGGGGTATTTTGTGGGTTTTAGTTTTATCCTCCGTAATCGATATATAACGATTGGTTATTCTTGGAAACGATCAACACCAATATTTCGATAAGATTTTACCATTTTACAATGGACCATATCTTCCTCACTCCCGCCAATATGGAAAATACCCTATTTGCGAGAGAGTGATTGCTACGGTCCCTATATTGACAAAGTTCTGTTCAAGGACTATTTTACTTCGATGAATCAACATATATCAATTTCATAGCTTGTCTAGCCCTTTGATATGAAGTCAACTATTGCCATCTTCTGGAGAAGGCCCGAAACTAATTCATACACCCAATACTTCAATTTATTTATCTATAAACTGAAATTTTCATCTCCAAAAACCTGAGTCATGGACCGAATTTTTTTGAACACCAGAGATGGAACACTGATGCTCAATTCCTTTCAATTACCTGAAAATGGTTTGCTTATATCCTTCATCAAACTGGTTAACCGACCATAGACTCTGAGCTGCCCCAGTGAGTCAGCACAGTAGTCGTTTATGTACTCGTCAACGTGCGAGTGGTGCTTCTTGGTTGAGTCAACGAAGGACACGTCCAACTTTTTCACAGATTCACCGAAGCATCGCAAAAACTGTAGACATGTCTTCAATCCGCCAACTACAATTGTTCCATCACGTTCAGAAAGTGCCCCATATTTTGGATAAATATCAGTTATTTTGACGTTTTTATGGCCAAACTTTCTACCGAAAACTATGGCAGCTGCCAATTTGAGCCATTTATTCGAATCATCCACATTCAAAAGGTCGCCAATGGCCAAGTACTCGAAAATTTTCTCAAGACAATCACAATTGATGTCCGTAATTTTTGTCTCTTTCAATAGCTTGCTACGCTTCTTCTGAGTAGACTTGTCGTTATGATCAGATCTGTTGTGACACTTCTGGCCGGTAGAAAGCTTTGAATTCATTTTTGTTGGCTACACAAACCTAGTCATAGCACATCATTGGAAAAGAAAAGAAGTTGATAAGAATTCAATGATTCAACCATCTTTCAAGTAGGTATGAATTTTGATGGACACATAAGATTCGTTGTCAATTCAGTTCACGCAGCTAAAATGGCGCTGTACGTGTACATTCTATTACAGTCAATGTGCAAAGTGAATAGGTCATTATAGTGACACAACTTTTTGAGGTTAAGAAAATTATATTCTGATTGGAAAATCAGAAAATATCGAAAACTCTGACACAGAATCGAACCAAAAACTATTGAATTATATTAGTGAAAACAATAGAAATCCAATGAAGTATTCTCAAATTCGTATGAAATGGATCTATTTGAAGAAAGTTCAAATGTACAAATCTACAAATGTATTAATAGGTATATACTTAACGACTTAATTAGAATTGAATTTGTTTTTTTACAATTGCTTTTCTGGTGGATGTATGCTACACTCTCCATCAACATCAAAAGAACTATGATTCTATTGTTTCTTTTTTTAATTTTCTCACTAAACTAACTTTCGATGCGCAAATGGTGTCTTCGTGTAGAAGCAAAATGGCGAATTTGATACTCTGCTAGCCTCGTACGTCTAAGCACGTTGTTGTGCTGATGAAATGGCAATGCACAATCGTAGCTTGTGTCACGTTCAAACTTCGAAATTTGTGGTGTTGTCGCTAGAGATGTTCGAAATCATTGTATGACACATTTCGAAGATGTTCGAATATGAGCATTGCAATTTTTCTTTGTTGACAATTAAATTTTTTTCGTTGAAACCAAGCACGTTTGGAAACCATACGTTAAGTCATTCAAATTAGACCGTATATTGACCGTTTATTTGAGAGAATGGTTTTGTCTAATTTGCTACCACTTCATCTACCGAACGAGCTGTTTCGATTTTCTATAGAAATGATTTAATGAGGTTGGAGAAGTACCTAATAGTAGTAGCAGCGTTCAATAATGTCGGGAAGCTATGATGAAACTCTATGTTCAGTTTTGGCGCTGTTATAAAATAGCTACTCAACGCATAAAGTGACATTTTCTAAAAATGTTTTTGAAATATACTTTGTTACTTTCTCTGATACTTTCGAAATTGCGTCCAAATAATTCAACTCACTAAAACCTATTAAAACCAAGTAAACATCAAAAATGCAAGAACCAAACCATTTTCTCGAGCCGATACTTCGTTTTGGTGAGTTGGTGGATTCAGTGGAAATTGTTTTTTGTCAGTGGTGTTAGAAAAGTGGTCGAAAACGGCCTCTTACGATGTTTTTGTCTTGGCCAACTAACATTTTTTCTCAAAAAATGGGTCCCTGAACACTTGAACACTGGTTTTCCTACAAATTTGGTCTCAAATCGACATTTCTTCATAAAACTATCGATCAATTGAAAGATTGATACAAAATCACATTTTTCAAAACGAAGTATCGGCTCGCCAGCAACTAAAATCTGACATTCATGTGTTGAACCGTACATTTCAAAAGTTGTAAATGTTACTACAGTAACTAATTTTGACCATTTTCCACGAAATTTACCCATTTCAACCCATTTTCTGAAACATATTGTAGCTTTGAGAGTACAGAATCGCTTCTGCGTGATCGTCTGAACAAATAACTTCTTGAATAGATAGGTAAAAAACCAATAATTACCGGAGTACTGGTGTAAAAACTAAGTTTCATCAAGAAATTCGTTCCTCCTGACATGCAGAAACGCCTATAGTCATTAATTCTAGGCAGGAGCACCTTTACCCAAAACCATGGCCCATTATGAACTCAGGGCAGCCTAAACTATCGCCTGGCACTTATTTGACTGATGTGCCAGATTAAAAAAACACGCGTCGGACGAAATCTATTGTGGTCAACAAATTTTCGAAAAAATCGTTTTTTTTCAATTTTTCTGCGTTTTTGGTTTTCTGCATTTTTTTCTTTTCTGCAAATTTTTTTTTCTTTCTGCGTTTTTGGATTTCTGTAATTTTTTTTTCTGCATTTTTTCTTTCTGCAATTTTTTTCCTGCATTCCACTCGGATACCAGTCCGAATCATTGATGGATGGTTGCCATTTGTCGCCCAGGTACCTGCGGAGCCCACCGAACTTCGAGCGATCACCAAGTTTGAAACGGAATTTTTTCAACGAATCACTCGTTTCCAAAAGGTCAATAACGCTCCCAAGCAGACTCAAAGTAATATTCAGTTTGAATATCTTCAGTGAAGGTAATGCCGTGCCGAATTGCAACAGCTCAATACCACGACCCTCCTCTTCGAAAGTCAAAGACATCTTCGTTATTGTTTGATGTGCGCTGATGACAAAATGCATTAACAAATAAAATCGAATACAACGATAATGAATAGCAATCCAATAACAACATCGTTACTCTGTGCTCAAACATAAACGGCCTGCGAAACAACTTCACCGAATTGAAACATGTTGCCTTAAAACGCGTACCTGACATTATCTTTTTAAACGAAACGCATGTGACTGAAAATTGTGATATTAGTGACATTAAACTACGTAATTATAATTTTATAAATTGTCCGTCTCATTCTAAACATACCGGTGGTGTCTCTGTTTTTATTAATAAGAAACTTAAATTTAGTAATATTTCTGTGATAAATGAACAAATAGTGTGGTTGTTGTCCTTCGAAATTCGTATAAACAAAATTTCAACAGTTTTTGCTGGTGTCTATTTATCGTCTAAAAATGAGCATAAGCAGTCGACCATTGACTTCATTGAAAAATGGCTAAATGAAACATCGTCCGAAAAACAGATAATTTTGTGTGGAGATTTTAATATTGATTTGTTGTCGCAATCGTCCCATTGTCGCCGTCTAAAAAATATTTGTGACGATAATGGTGTAAAACTCATAGTTGATTCACCCACAAGAATAACCCGAGACTCATCGACGCTTATTGACTTATGTGCCACAAACATAAATGTTAATAAAATAACGTGCAAAGTATTAACAGAAGACCAAATATCCGATCATTCGATGCTTGAAATTGTTGTAAACGGCCGCACCGAAGCGCAACCGAACAAAATACGCGAAATAAGAATTTGGCAGAATTATAATTTACCAGAGTTATGGAATTCATTAGAAAATAATTTATATTCGTGGGATCGTCTAATAAACAGTGACTTAAATACGAAAATGGACTGGCTACTAAATATCATTAGGGAGGCAACAACACAATTTATGAGTGTGAAATCGGTGAAAATAAAACAAGACTTTTTTGACAAAGACCTAGAAATAATGCGTATTGAAAAAAATCGTTTGTACAAAGTTGCACAATTTTCCACAATTGATACGAATGAAAGATGGTATGAATATCGGAAATATAAAAATGAATATAAAAACACAATCCAGACTAAAAAGTACGAAGCAAATCAGAGACAATTAGACAGAGCACAGGGCGATATAAAAGCAACATGGAAAGTTTTGAACTCAATCCTATGTAAAGAAAACAGTGAAATAACCACAATTAAACGAGCTGACGATGTTGTGATATGTGATGACCTAAACATTGCCAATGAATTCAAAAATTTTTTCATTAACAGTATCGTCGAGCTAAATAAGAGTATTCCAATGTGTCAGTACGAGGAAGAAATTATAACAAACCCGAATATATCATTTGATTTTAGACCAGTCACAATATCAGAGATCAAAACAAGCCTTAAAGAACTCAAAAACAACACAGACGAATACTTCTTAAATCCAAAAGTCCTGCTTGATGCAATATTTGTCATTGGTCATCAAATTGCGTCAATTATAAATGAGTCGTTTTCAAGTGGAGTATTTCCTGACGCCCTAAAAATGTCCACGATCATTCCAATACAAAAAAAACTTGGCTCAACACTAATATCGGATCATCGACCCATCAATATGTTATGCTGTATCGAAAGACTTATGGAACGATTAGCTCACAACCAATTCAACCAGTACGTTATAACAAATAAATTGCTCAACGACAACCAATCGGGGTTCCGAGAACTCCATTCATGTGAAACTGCAATCAACGATGTCTTGTACGAGTGGCGCGGAGCTCAAAATAAATCCAA